TCAGTTCAGAGGTCAGTCTTCAGTCTTTGTGGAGCCCAGCCCATGGTTATGTTAGGCAAAGACAAGTAGTGATTTCTGCATTCTGCTATCATTTTTCAAACCCTTATGTTGTTCTAAACCCATATGACTTTATTTCCAATTTGGACTCAGAAAACCTGATATATACAGTAGCTCATGAGTCTAATCAACCACTTTATGATACTGTAATGGTGCTTTGTATTATTTTTTAATCTTGATGACATTTATCCCTTTTAAAAAGCTGACATGATCCCAATTTAACCCTATTGTTTGTATGTTATCCTTGTTTCGTGTCAAGATATACAAATTAGGGCCTAAGAGGAAAAAAATTGTATGATGTGAAACGTATGTGAACATGTGTGTCACATCACAAGGTATTTTTTAATCAAATTGAGAAAGCAGTCAAATTCAAGCATTTACATGCTTCATTTTATCCTATTGATCGGATAATTTTAGGTCTACACCACCCTTTTAAATCTGATCAAAATTTCATTTGGTTCAGGGTCAATCGGATTGGTTAAAGGGGTCATATGATGCTATTTTAAAGCTAATTATTTTGTGTATTTGGTTAGGGCCTAAGAGGAAAAAAATTGTATGATGTGAAACGTATGTGAACATGTGTGTCACATCACAAGGTATTTTTGAATCAAATTGAGAAAGCAGTCAAATTCAAGCATTTACATGCTTCATTTTATCCTATTGATCGGATAATTTTAGGTCTACACCACCCTTTTAAATCTGATCAAAATTTCATTTGGTTCAGGGTCAATCGGATTGGTTAAAGAGGTCATATGATGCTATTTTAAAGCTCATTATTTTGTGTATTTGGTATAGACTTGTGCCGGTATTCGGTAATGCGATATATCACGGTAATGAATATGCACGATATTGTTATCGTGGGCACTTCTAAATACCGTGAATAATTATATATTACAAATTATTCAGAATTTTGAATGCAATTAAGAATACTTTTCCCATAAACTGGTCAAAATCCACAACACCACTGTATGCTGCGTGAAAGACGCGTGCACACTCTGATGTAAATAAGCGCAGACGAGAAGCACATGGCGGAACATGTGAGAGACGCTCTGGATGAAAGCGCACTTTCACTCTCTGACAGCAGATGGCGCTAAACTGCAGAAATAATAATAATAATAATAATAATAATTCATTTAAATGCAGCTGTTACCCCGGAAGCCCTGTAAACAAAGCAGCTGCACTACTTTCGATCTCTAAATCGTGTTTAAATGATTTAAACAGCCATTCAGATTTGTGTATTTGCTATGATGTTCATCACAGCGCCAAATACTTAAATATTTAGACTTAATAGGCTATTTATTTTCAAACTTTTTTTACATTTTAATCTGTACTACAACATGCCCTAGATATTGTTTGAAAGTGTTTTGATTCTTTATTGTTCGGTAACACTTTACATTAGGGCTTCATTAGTTAACATTAGCTAATTCATTAGTTACCATAAACTGCCAATGAAAAATTCTTCTGAACATTCATTAATCTTAGGTAATTACAATATTTAATAACACGTTGTTAAAATCGAAAGTTGCAACTGTGTTATTTAATGAGCTAACATGAACTAAGACTTGTATTTTTTAAACAAAGATTAATAACTTCTGTAGCAAATGTAGCTATTGCTCATTGTGAATGTTAATGCATTAACTAAGGTTAACTAATGAGGTCTTATTGTAAAGTGATACCTATTGGTCTTTATAGTTCTTTTGCACTTTAATCTGTGTAAAACTTTTAACTTTATACATTTTTCTGTATTGCTTTATTGCATTTAAATGTTCAGTTATTTTTGTTATAAGAAAAAAGTTATTAAACCTGTTATACTGTATTATGACAGCACTTTTTTTAAAAACTAAATTTCAACATCGTGATAATACCGAATACCGTGATAAAAGCATTAGCAATTAATCGCAACATGAGAATTTGATACCAGCATATCCCTAACTCTGATAAACCGTATATTGCCGTAGTCGTGTGTTTATTAGTCACGTTGAATCAATGAAAGCAGTTGAATCTTCTGTTTATTCAGCCGCAGCGATAGGCATTTTCTGGGTTTCTTCTGCGAGGCGTATTTGGAGT